CCCCCCCGGGTTATTTATTTTGGATGATGTAGGATAGCAAATACTAGATCTACATAATTTACCAGGAAGGTCATGTTTTTTTTTAAATTTCGAATTAAAAAGGGTTACTAATTCGTTTGGTCTGAATTTGGGCGAAATGCGTATTGAAACATTTCTGAGAATGCTTATGAGATTGATAGAAATGAAAAATGAAAATGGCCAGTCATTTGAATCTGCCCCAAAATAATATATGTGGTATCGTGGTGAAATCAGGCGCTTGTCAACATAATGAAATCGAAGAATGCGACATTTTTTCAATCAATAGGGCAATTCTTAACGCATGTTCAAAGGGCTCAGCTCCTTTTAAACCAATTTTTAAAAGAAACATTTCTTCGTGGATTTTACTGAAAACGTTGATTCAAGCAAGACATAAAAGAAATTGTAATTTTTGCAGTTTCCAAGGACACTCAGTGTTTGGAAGTCATTAAACTTTGAGGGTCATTTCCTCGTAAATTTTACCTCTCACACAAGGTAGCCCCTACCTCCTTTTATTGCAACTATCTCGACTTTTACTCAAGATAGATGGGTACTTTCCCTCTTTAAGCAAGGCAAACGAACAGGCTTTAACAGTAAATTATGTATACCAATAACCATTTGAGCCTCAAAATTGACGAACGCCTGATTCCACCCAGTCGTACCACACATAATATGATATCAACACAACGCACATGTATTGCAGAGTAACCTCCAAGAACATCTTGAGGTGTAAGGCCTTGTTCACGGGCAGCCATAATGTTTTATATGGTTTGTACAAAGTAGATTATATAAGTGTGCAGATAAATTTAAAAAATAGTGAGGCATGCTGACAAAATGATTTACTTCTTGCAATCCACAAATGGATGTATTGGCCAAAAATCGACACCAGGGTCAAATTTGCATGCTTCCTCTTGATGGCATATTCTTTAAGTATAAAAAGACTTATTTTTTATTTCATACTTATAAATTGTAAAAACTTCACCTATAAGCGTGACGTATCGATTTCTATGGGTCTCAAATCCATGAAGTAACTCATTTTGTCAGCACCCTTCACAATTGCTTCCATGCACAGAACAGTCTGTCGAAAGCCTTTTATTTAGTTGGCACACTGGTGTTCAGGCGGATAAGTATCCAGAGCGTATGCATTCTGAAGGTGTTTCTCTTTTGGAATATTTTAGCAGACAGTATGCGTAGACCAAGTTTTGTTATGATGCAATGCAGTTGGTTACAAACTTTACGCACTCTCTGAAATTCTAGGTTGAAACCCAGGAATTGTGGCAGCAGCAACGATAAAAAAAATCAAAGAAAGAGGAAACATAAAACAGAATATTATGTCTTAAAAGTCTTCATGAAGGTAGGAGTATAAGCAAATAACATTTTACTACGTACATATTTTAACAAATGCTATGGTATAGAAAAATTCCTTCAGAATACAAATTTTAAAAAACGAGGTAAAATAAAAATCAAACAAGGAACACCCAGATCACGACACAAATGCAATTGAATAGAGGGAGCTGAATACTTTTTCACACTGAGAGTTTTGATGGACTAAAAAAAAAATCACAACGAAGTTTCCAACAAAATTTGGTTTTCAAAGGCAGGACCACGTATCTACATCCAAAATAGTAATTTTCAAAGTGGTAAAGCTTTGCCAGTGAATGATCCCAATCCGATTAGCATTGGCAGAGTCACACATCTACATTTCCTCACAGCCATGTTTAGAAGCACTCATAATTTATTTAGACATACTGAGCGTCAAAAGATTTTTACTTTTTTCTCAAAATCGTGAATTAATGCGCAGTTACGTCGCAATGCACACGTATTCAACTAGTCAGATCAAAATGAGTGGAATCGGGACCATGTTCTGCAGGCGCACACTTTTCATACCTGACATGCAATTTGTATTAATCAGAATGACTTGGCGCGATCCATGCTTTATGCACGTTGCTGTACAAGCAAAAAATAACAGCTGTGAACAAGCCAAAGAGCCTTCTGCAGTCCTCGTTCTTAAGTACCTGTTATGAATATTCAAAACCCCCATTGAAACGATTTAGATCATTTCGGAGGTAGGCTGTTTCGGGGGTTGCCTGCCAGGCTAAAGCTGAAATAACGTCCAAACAGACGGACGGATTGACTTTAAAACTTCTCCCCACACGAGAATCGAACTCACGTCTTCTGTGTGAGACGATGAATCGCCAAACCGCTACACCCCAGACGTCGACCCTTGTTCCGTGTACATAAAATGCTTACCTTGATGTTTTGTTAAGTTATCGACTTTTGATTGGATGCTGTCATATATCAAATCCAACTACCTGGGAGAAACAAACACGCTCAAGTCTAGAAGATTGGATGAAGTCGACCGGCGTCTGGGGTGTAGCCGTTAGGCACTTTCTGTCGCTTGCAGCAGGCCCGAGTTCGATTTCAGAGTGGGGAGAAATTCTTATCGAAGATCTCAGGCTTTCTGCTAGGATGTTGTTCTAAATTGTCTAATTTGTGTTGTTTAGGGTGTAAAGACACAAATTAAAAAAGATCGAGTCATGCCAGGATGAAGCATACAATATAATCGGAAATTTGCCCTGGTCTTTCACGCTGGATATCATACAATGTTGGACGGAAATCGAGGAAGTGAGCTTTGGCTATTAACGAGCAATAGTATTGTAAACCATAGACTGTCAATAAGATGCAGTACAGGTTCTACACTAGTCAAATTTGTCAACTTTTATTGCTTAAGAAAGATCTTTAAAATCAGATTGCTTAACACCACAAGAAATGAACAACAATGGAAGAAAACATAATCTGAACAGAAAATAGTAAAAGAAATCAGAGACTGAAAAAGAAAGTGGGCTGGTACACTTTTTTTAAAAAACAACCGGCGACAAACTAACATTTTTAACCAAGCCTTACTATACAATCCACAGGAAAGACAAAGAGAAGAAGGCTTAAAAGTGCAGTCAAACCTGCTCAAACGGCCGCCTTTGTAAGATAATATCCTGCACAAACGGCCACGTCTCATTTCCTCCCTTGCGTAATTTTTACATTATACTGACACAGTGTACGACGGTCACCTATGTATATATGACCACTTTTCTCCTCGACAATGTTAGCCGTCTTAGATAGGTGATAGACTCATTATCTTGCTGCTCTCCACAGAATTCTTTAGTAAAACTCTCCACGCAACTCTTTAGTAAAAGGCACGGATTTATAAGTTAAGAAGAGAAACCAGAGTAATCTTAGATAGTTCAGACTGTATTTGAAAGAGGGACTTAGATTGGGATCTAAAGGAAATGGGATGCAGCGGAACAGAGATTGAGACTATAGACCTGGGCAGAAGTAGAAGGAGAGCTCTTATCGGTGGCATTTTCTCCGACACCGGGTAAGAAAGGCAGGCCATAACATAATATTATTGATACTAAACGTGTGGCATTTTGGTGAAATAAAGCGCCCATCAAAATAATGGACTCGAAGAAACCACCCTATCTTTGCCTATTTAGCAATTTTTATATTTCTCTTCTTTTTTTTTTCCTCAACACATGTTTATGTCCATTTAAAACCCGAACACATTTTTGCATAGATTTTACTGTAAAACTTAGCTCAAAGGCACACAAAAATTAGATTTGCAGTGTTTTGGGACACTGAAGCATTAGGAGTCACTTTGGCGGCCATTTCTCCTCTACTTTTACATCTAACACAACTGCTTTCAATCGCAAATATCTCGACTTCTATTCAAAATCGACAGGTATTTCTTTTTTACTTCAAAGGCGAGATAAATGAACTCCAAATGAGCCCAAAAATATAGACGAGCGCCTGATCCCACCGTGTCGAGACACATTTTATTATATCACTAGTCATTGGTAACTGGGGCACGCTCCTGAGCAATGTGCATGCCGGAGAATTTAGCAGGAAGTTTTTCTATCCAGTTCATGCACTTCTCAATGTTTCTTCTCTTTTCCAACTCCTCCTCTGTCAGTGCCACTTCTGCCTGCGGTACTTCCGGACTCGTTCCGATTGCAGCCGGTACGTTGTCGCCGGGGGAACGTGTAGCTTGATCTGTTGATTCTGACGTTACTGCCGATCGTTGTGAATCATTGTTCGTTGAGTCCGAGCGTTTTGACGAAACGCCGCACTGCGTTATAGAACCTCGACTTGATTTTCTCGGTTTCTTAAAGTTCATGGTCTCCAGTCGCTTTTTCTGGGCGTAGTTGTTGTTGCTGTTGCTGTTGTTGTGTTGGTTTGATGACGATGAAGTGGGCCACGGTTTGGACCTAACTGTTGCGTCTGTATGAGGAAGACTATCTCCCCTTGGAGAGTCTCTGAAAGCTGCCACAGTCGCAACAGAACCTTTGTTTAACGTCACTTTAAATGCTGAAGACTCTCTGCCACAGGATGGGTCATTTGTTTCAGAGTCTTTGGAGGTCTCTTCCATGTCAGACCTGCCTGGGGTTGGCGGGTACTCTACGACTCGACCTTGGAGAAGGTCTGGTCGGGTCAAGGTCACGTACTGACGAAAGGCTAAAGGTGTTGATGAGGGAGGGGAGGTCATTGCCATTGTTTACGCTTTGTGTCCAAACTGGAAATGTGGTCCCCCTTTGTTGTTCAAGAGGGGGGGGGGGAGTCCGCGTTGTCGTAGTATGAAGAATTGTTGACGTATTCACGTTAGGAGTGCGAAATGCTGTAGATGTCTGTACATGACTCTTCAGGGTTGTCAGATGTGGTCACTGTCTTCTGTTTGTTTGCTGTTTTCTTTTCAGAATTCCTTCAGCTTGCGTGAATTGTTGATGGCCAAGAGCATCTGAAATGCATTAAGAAACATATAATCAGACAATATTGAAACTATATGCATCTTTCTTCGAAGTCACGCTTCACCTCGCTCGCTACAAAGGGAATTTCACTTTTCACTTAACAATGAACCCCGAAATGAAAAACTAGAGTCCAATGAGAGTGATACTATTATTCTAAAGGTTCATTTCATATCTTTTGGATGAGTTCACTTTTTTGGACCAGACGTACATTCAAACACTGTTTGGGCGTAGTTTTGGAGTTAAAACTCGTGGTTTAAAGACAATCCTGTCCTACATTCAAACAGTCAAACAGTTTAGGGCACTTTGTTTGTTTCGGGTACTTTCGGTTTGTTGTTGTTCTTGTTTTAGTTGTTCTTGTTGTTGTTGTTGTTGTTGCTGTTGTTGTTGATGTTGTTGTTATTCATTTGTTTTGTTTGTTGTTGTTATTGTTTCTTTTTTGGGGGTAGTTTTACTTTGATTTTGAACAAAGAAAGTCATTCTCAGTGCCATGCAGTAAAACTACAGTCACAAGGTTAGAGTCAGAAAAATTGTAGCCGACAGCTCGAATAATTTACCCCGAACTGACCGACCCATCACGAAAGTGACGAAACTTGGGGAGGGGTGGAAGGGGGGGGGGGGTTTGTAGACGTGCAGAATGCCCTCGAGGCTTACTGTGCACTACAAATCCTTGACCTCAATAGATTACATTCTGACCATTTTTGTCCGATACTCTATCTACATACAGCTAGTAAAAGTAATCGAAGCAGTACAATGTTGTGACCGTATTTATAGTACGTTTCTTTACCGATAAATTAAATTGTTTAACACTTTAAATTAGTGACGATTAAAATGTTTCGCTGGCGATATGAAGGAGAAATAAAAGCAAAAGTTCAAATGATTGAAAGTGACCAATAGATGGGTTTTAAAAGAAATTCCGACAGAGGCACAATGACTATTAAAGACAAATTCCAATCTAATAAATGACGACCCCAAACTTATTGATATTCCCGATGAGCTCGATCTGAATTTCCTTTAGGCGGTTGTTTGTTACGTTTTGCTCTCTTGGTATATCTGTCTTGATTGTTCATTTTACAACATTATGGTTATTGTTATACAGATATCTATTTTGGTTTTGGTTTTGTTTTTCCGTGGGTTTTCTAGTCTGTATGTTTTTGGGGTTTTATTTTGGTGGGGGGTCGAGATTGTTTTCTTTTTTTTCTTTTCTTTCTATTTTTTTTTTGGGGGGGGTGATCTCTTTTGACTGAAATAAACAATTTAGATCCTTAAGATAAGAGGCACCTCAGCAGAAATATTCAATACAATACACATCCTCTCGTAAAAATCGATCCCATGAAGAACTTATTCACAACAAACACTGGTTACAGCTAGAACTTCTTTAAACATATAAAATGAACATCCCCACAGAATACTGCACTGTGACACTTTTCAAGCAGTTTGTATTTTTATAAGGTGCGGGATCTGTAAAAAATTCTGTGTTAATCAAACACCGCACATTTTAAGACGATTCTGTAAATGTAAACTTGGGTCCCCCTTTCGACACTGATTTGACCAAGTGCGCAGATCTGGGGTCATTGTAAGTCGCGGTGGGATGGGGTGGTACTTTGTCATATTATTATAGCACAGGTGTCAAAATCAAAGTTACCGGGTCGTATCCGGCCGGAAAAGCAATCCGCCAGAGAATGTTTGGTCAGGTAGTCCATCCTGAGAATCTCAATAACACAGAACCTTACTCCAAACATAAACGAACGTCATGTCTAAGAAAAGACGCCGAACGTTCAACTGTGACAAATCGTCGTAAGGGCGAAAATTAGTTTGCCTTGATCTGTTATTATCTTATATTTTTTACGTTTTAATGCATGTTGGCTTTTTTTTTTTAATCCTTGTTTCAAAATGTCTAGTTTTCCACTCCCCAATGAGTGTTTATCCAATTCCGCCCACAATCTGAAGTGTAATTTGACTTTGGGCCTCTAAGTGATCAACTTTGACACCCCTGTCTTAAAGGACCAGGAAACAGCCTGCTGCGATCGTCAATATACGCAAAGACATGTGTGCGTGAGTGTGCGGGGGGGGGGACTACTCTTTGCTTGAACGCTTTGAAGCGATTATTGTTGCCATTCTGTGAGCGATAACATTATGAAGGACGCCAATGTTATGGTGTTTTTCTTTTATTTATCAGCTAGAAGATTTTAAAAAACAGTCGTTGTTGCTACTTTGTTATGTACAGTTTATGTCACTCACTAAAAAACAGTATCAGATTCGCAGAAATACATATATCGTCACCTGTGGCTCTAAGGACTTATTATCTTTTTCATTACACGTATCTCAGACAGAGAAATGGCTCATTTTGTAGTGAATAATCAGAATTTCCCAGAAATCTTTACTATCTCTGACTACCACAGAGTAAAAATCATTCTGCCATAAACACATGTAAGTGCGTCCTTTGCAAAGATTGTAGAGGAGGGAAAAGAAAGTGTGTATGGCGGTGAGGGAGGGGGTTGATTTCGACACCCTCTGCAAAAACGTGACCAATAAATCACGATAACACTATTGAAGACTGCTGCTACTTACAACAATACCTAATCTATGTGCCGGCTTGTCAACCGTTGAAGGATTTTCACGCCTGCAAATCAGAACAGGAAGTCCCGCATATTAGATCTGGAGCCCGGATCAGCCTGGACAACTCGAGTGCTTCCAATTTATGGAGCAGAAACTTCAGTGGTGAAGATAATGTCTTCGGAAAGTAGAACCAGATACATCGATCCGGAAACTTTGCCTCTGCTTGTTTGTCTATCTGTCTGTCAGTCTGTCGGTGTGTGTCCGGCTTGCTGACCGGCTTGCTGACCGGCTAGCTTTCTGGCTAGTTTAATGGCAGCCTCTCTCTCTCTCTCTC